TGAAACTTTTTTGAGTAAGCTATTTCGTAATTCTTTCTAGAGCCTTACCCTTGGAAGTCGAAGTAAAATATTTCGCGATTTTTCAACGCAGAACACTTCTTACAAATTCCGTTTTCTGAAAATCGGAATAATTCCGAGAAATTCTTTTCTGAAAATTTCCACGAATTTATACTCAAAATGTTGCAGTTCTTTTTTATTTTTTTTCTTTAATTTGGACCATTTCTCGATTTATGCATGTCATCCTTGCGCAGGGGCCATGCTAATCTTCTCTGTATCGTTCCAATTTTAACAGATGTCCCAAGGACTTGCGATTCTTTTTCTAATTCTGTTTACGAGTGAGATTCCTCTTTTTCAGATTAACAAACGTCGACGAGGATTTAGACCAACTCCTGCGTGAAGCGGCCGGGAGGGTCCTGCGCTGCCTTGGTACGGTGCCGGACCGATGCACTCGACAACGTAGACAGAATTGTTGGGGAAGATGTTTACAGATCTGGGCGCAGGGGTAGACCACAACGACAATATAAGGTTAGATTTGCTTATCAGGAACAACCACCTAAGGATCGCTGGTCTTACATGAGACGAACTAATTGAAACAGCACCGCATATTGTGTCTTATTATGAAAGATCTAGAAGAGGAATTAACATAATTGACAGATAAAGTTGTTAACTTTCTCGGAGGACCTCGAAATTAGGACGGCGAGAGTGAAAGGCCTTCCGCGATTCAGACCCCATCCTCGAAATACAGGGTCAAGGTTCAGTTCCAGGGAGGCTAAGTCGGTTAATTTCAGAGAAGTCACAGTAGGGTACCTTAGAGGTCAAATCCAACCGGCACCCGATGAATAGTCACATCCCAGGGGTGAAAGTCACGTCTCAAATTAAAGAGTCATAATGAAAAGTCACATCCCACAGACAAAGGACACTTTCCCAGGTAAGAGACATGTCTCAGAGGCAGGAGTCACAGTCCACAATCAAATGTCATGTTCACAAGTGAAAAGTCGTGACTCTCAGGCCCAGGCAGCAGCACACCCTTTGGAAATTCGGGAAAGTACCAGGCCCTGACATTCGGAAGCAGATAGGCTGTGGGCATGTGGTACCAGGCCAAGGGGAACTGTTGCAGCAGAGGCAGGGACAGCCAAAATGAAGTCCGAAGGCAATATAAGGACTGGCCAGCCTCTCATTCGGGCAAATTGCTCATTCACATGGAGTGTGGAAGTGCTGGTGAGGGGCAGAGCGCTGAGCCAGGGTGTTGTGCTAAGAGGGAGAGAGAGAAGAAGAGTTAGCGCTGGCAGGGAGAAGGCAGCCATAGCTGCGCCAATGCAGAGTGTTTGTGTTAGTTAGTGGTAGTTAGAAGGCATAGCAGTGGATGTATTCAGAGTAGATCCTTGAGTAATAGAAGTTGGTGAGTGTGCATGCATGTAGGGAGAGAAGACAATGTGAAAACAAAGCTAGAAAGAAGACCAGAGAGAGAGAGAGAGAGAGAGAGAGAGAGAGAGAGAGAGAGGGAAGAGTAGAAGAGCAGGAGGGGAATACTTACCTGAGAGTTGATGCTGGTGACTGGTTAGCTTTGTATGCGCTGATGAACGCTGGTGACTTGAACTCTTATTGCTCTTGCGATAATTTGTTGGAATTCATAAGCTGCATTATCTGGTTTTCGACTTTCTGGCATCCAGTGTGGAATTCGTGCCACCTCATTTGTGTTTGATGCATGTCTATGTGTACACTCTTTGGTGATGAACTGTGCAGTTCATAGCAACCCAGGCCTACCCTACCTCAACCTCTTCAGCATGTAACTGACCATACCTACCCATGAACAAGTTTTTTCAAAACCACCCATGGCCACCTGAACCCAAACCGTTTGTTAACCACCCATACCCTACCCTACCAAAGTTTTCTTTACCCGTACCCAGCCGTACCTACCCATAATTGTATGCACCCACCCATGACCACCCGTGCTCGTCGTCCACCCCCCTAACCGCCCATAACCGCCCCTTACTGTCCTTAACTGCCCCTAACTGTCCCTAACCACCCCTAACTGTCCCTAATTGTCCCTAACTATCCGCCCCTAACTTTTTTTCTTTTTTTTAGTACCGCCCCTAATTGTCCTTAACCTCCCCGAACTATTCCCAACCCCCTAGACGTCACAAAATTGACTTGGTATTTTTTATTATTATTAATTATATTATTATCTTTTTTCTTTTTTCCGAGGTGTGGCAGCTGCTGCAGCTAGCCGCAAAAGCAAGAATTGTTACGTCTCGTCACTCTGATGCAACTATGGACGCATCTGTGCTACAGCATCCTATGCAACCTGTTTACCATCTGCAAATACAAACCTCGGTCTGTCGCATACACATACACTCTCACACACACACACACACACACAAATATTACATACACAAGGTTACACATATGAAAATAGTCTGAAATTTTGAAAAAATAAAAATAAAAAAATGAAGAGATAAAATTCACCCTTGCGAGAAAAAACGTTTGCATCATGGGAAAGCGAGAAATTTGGAATATGAGAAAAGCATCATGCTTGAGCAAAAATGCAAAGCCTGCAAAGCTACAAGACTCAAATCGGGTATAGCACGGTTACCCGATCAGAACCTCTACCCACTCGTACCCACCCCTTTTTTTTTTGGCCACCCGTGCCTGCCCATACCCGACTATTTTTTTCTGGCTCCCCATAACCGTTTTTTTTTTTTTTTTTTTTTTTTTTTTTGTACCCCTACCCCCACCTGCCCCAACCCACAAAAGGGCAACTGTGCCCGCCCTAACAACCACCACCTTTTGTTTGTGCCTGCCCATACCCAACTCCGCGTAACCTGGCTGTTAAAGTTGTGTACGGCCTGGTATGGGTAACGGCTACCAGTTTGCGCTCTTTGCTTGCGTGTCTATAGGGGCCCGTGAGGGCGGAGTCCTCGCATTCCGTTTGCTTTTGTGAACCAACGATCTTCCTTAGGATCCGTTTGATGGCTGAATCTGACCCGGTTCTCCCTCATAGGTTTGGGCGGTCTTCCTCTGCCCACAGGCTTGGGAACAGGCAAGTGTCTATGTTCCAAGATGTCGTCGACGTCCACATGGCCATCCATGGTTGGGGGCAGCGTTGACCTCCTTGATGGGAACTGATATGTCTCAGCGAAAGGTGCAAGCTTGGAAACGTGGAATACAGGGTAAGTTCGCAGATGACCAGGGATTCTTATGACATACGAGGGACAATCCAAATCACTACCCACAATATCCAAGACTTCCCAAGGACCGAAATAATGTGGCATTATCTTTTAGAGATTCTGAATTCCTGTCCCTGCAATCAGACTCGCTCTCATTCACACTTCATATGCATGCAAACAGGTTGCGCAGCAAACTGGCGACAAGCGCCCACTCAGAACTCAGAGATATAGTAACCAAGAACGCATTTCAGATACAAGCTCACTTCAAATGGCTATGGCGGCACAGCGCCTGTACAACTCTCTGTTCACACACACACACACATAGGATCACCCTGGATACCCCACACGCATCACACTTTATACACACACTCACACATACACGCTACAACCTCGCTATGGCTAAGTTCCTTCTCTCGCCCAGTACGTCTTCGGGCTCACTGCAGACCACCTCGCACAAGTCGCTGTAGCAACGCTTCTGCATGGCTTACACAGGAATGAATGAATAGTTGGGCGCTGTCTCTTGATTTATACTTCTGTAGTTCGTTGGTCTGCCCCTTTCCCATGCCCGTGGCGCACAGAGTCCCATACTGTACTTGCTTGACTGGACTTAGGACTGACTGGGACTGGGACTGCTGACTCAGCACGGGTAGACTCCACCACTTGCCCACTTGCCTCAGCCTAAACGTGAGCAACTTTGAAAGGCCACTACTAGGACCTTTCGGAAGGCCGTGGACTTGGCCTTTCGCCACTGTAGCAGCTATGACTTTGACCCTTCAGGACTGTAGCAGCTACGACCTTGACCTTTCGGAGGAGCTACAACTACGACTTCTAGACCTTGCTAAGACTCCTACCCGACAGGTCTACAGATCGAACCCCTGCTATCTGCGGACCCTACGACAGTCTACCAACTGTTACAAATACACAGGTCATGGGTTCAACTCTCGGGGTCGACACAGATACTGTACACAGGTAAGGTGAGAACTAGGGATCGAGCCCTGGGATCTGCATCGGCTACTGCTAACAGGTGAATACCGTTTCATCCTAGTTCACTAGCTTTTACCCGGACACGTTCCCCTACTTGAAATGTGGACAGTCATCTGTGTTTATTCTCAGAGGCAATCATCCTGAGATTTGCTGATGTATTCGACAGCCTGCTGCAACAACTTCTCATAGTGGACACCAAACTCTATGGTTCCAGGCGTTGCAGTTGGTCGGTTTTCAGGAAGGAGGAAGTCTACTGCAGATCTAGGCTTCCCCCCCAAATGCAGCTGATTAGGACTGATGCTGGTGGTGCTGTGTACATCGTTATTATACAGACTGGCAATGAGAGGCGGTCTCTCATCCCAGTCCATTTGGCCATTTGCTTCCGGATTATTTCCCAAAGTCATTTGGAGTTAGCTACCCATCTGTTCAGCAGCCCTCTTCCACATCTCGCTGGTGGATCAAACATCCCTATCACTATCTGTCGCCTTGGGCAGTCCAAAGTCGCGCACCCGGTTATCCATAAATAACTTGATGGCGTGCTGAGTCTTGGCAGTCTCTGGCACAGGAATTAGTCTAGCATACTTAGTGAACATGTCTACTATGACAAATATGTGCCTTTGCCACTCTAGCTGGTTACGAGAGTGTCCATGAAATCCATGGAGACACTTTGTCCCAGACCTGCAGGAATGGGCAAGAGCTTGAGTAACCCAAGCGGAATTTGAGTTTGCGGCTTGTCCCGCTGACAAACTTGACAAGTCTGAATGTACTTCTTTGCATCGTCAAGCATACTAGGCCACCAGAAATGCTGCAATAAATTAGCACTAGTCTTCTTGTAGCCGAAGTGACCAGTCACGTCATGACATTCACCTAAAAATAAACTACGCAGAATCTCACTAAACGGAACTCATAGCCTCTTGAAGCCTGCCTTTTCAAGAAAGATTAACCCATCCACCATCACAAACTCATTTGAAGCGGCCTTGTCTTGAGCCTCTAGTCTGTGCATGATGTCCATAACGACGAGATCTTCCTTGTAGGCATCCACCATCGATCGAGCTAATTCGTCAGATAGGCCAAACTCAGTAACTAGTGCACCTAGGCAGTCTGCCCTACGTGACAGTGCATCCGCAACCTTGTTGTACTCTCCCTTCACATAGTCTAACTTAAAGCCATATTGATCTATGACTTCAATCCAACGTTTAAGTGCATTGGAGAGAGCAGGTTGCGTCATGATCCACTGTGTCTGCTGGTCGGTTCTTAAATAGAAGAACTTGCCAAGCAGATAATGCCTACAATGGACAAGGGCTTTGTAAAGGGCGTAGAGTTCCCTCTCCTTGGTGGACTTTGCGAACTTCTTTGATGGCATCTTCTTACTCATGTACTCGATCAGCCTCAACTTCTTCCCTTCCTGCTGCGTCAACACTGCGCCAATGCCATATTGGCTTGCGTCAATGGTCGCAACGAATGGTTTTTCAAGATTGGGAAGCATGAGAATCTCATGGTGCATGAGAGCATACTTCAATCGTTTGAAGGCTGCCTCACACTCGTATGTCCATTCCCATGGTGTGTCAAGGCGTGTTAGATCAGTCAAAGGGGCGGCCACCGTACTATAGTTCGTTACGAATTTGCAATAGTCGTCGGTCATCCCTAAGAATGATCTGACCTCTGTCACAGACTGAGGTCGTGGCCAATCACGAATGCTGGCCACCTTCACATCTTCAGGCCTAACTCCATCCGCGGATGCTTCATGGCCCATGTAAAAGATCTTTGTGCGTCCAAACTCACATTTCTCCTCCTTGATCTTAAACTTGCGCTGCCTAAGGAGACCTGACACAAGATCTAAATGCTGCGCATGCTCCTCGACAGACTAACTAAAGATGAGAATATCGTCAAGGTACACGACGATAAACTTATCTCAGTAGTCATGGAAAAACCTTTTCATGGCATGGTGGAATGTCCCCGGCGCATTGCAAAGGCCAAAAGGCATCACCACAAACTCGTACAGACCTTACCTGTCTAGAATGCGGTTTTGTGCTGATCCTCTGGTCTAATGGCAATTTGATCTTAGTCGGACTTCAGATCTATCTTAGTGAAGTACTTGCATCCTTGCACCCTATCCAAAAGGTCGTCGATGCGAGGTACAGGCTTTGCGTTCTTAACGATGATGGCATTGAGGCCTCTATAATCAATACACATCCGTAGTGACCCCCCCTTCTTCAGAACAAATAGAACTGGTGAGTTGAAGGGGGAAGTGCTAGGCCGAATCCAACCCTTCTTTGTGAGCTCATTCAATTGCCGTCGGAGTTTGTCCAACTCAGTCGGGGCCATCCTATAGATTCATTCCTTTGGTGTCGTGCTACCTAGGATGATCTCTATGGCATGGACAACCTCCCTATCTACGACTCGTGAAGGCTTCTCGAACAAATCAGGGTACTTAGCAACCGCATATTCTATCTCTCGGGGGTGATTTAACGACCACCCTTTTCTTATATTCAAATACTAAGTACATGCCCTCCTCGTGGTTCTGTTTATAATAATTGTAAAACGCGAATGCACACATGCACCCGTAGGAGTCAACAAACCTGCTAGCGTTATACTTAGCTAGTCTAACAATCCTCCCATCAGGCAACACATGTTTGAGCACTTTCCGATCCCAGTCAAACTGGGGCTTGGCAACCTGGAGGTAGTACATACCTAACAACATGTCAAACGATAAATCGTCACTGACTAGGAACGAAATCTGGTGATTAAGTCCCCCACCTCCATAAGAGAAGGTGCAGACCACGTCCTTGACATAGTCCTTAACCATCATGTGCTCTTTGTTGGCTAGAGTACATGCTACAGGTCTACTTGAGCGTTGCACCCGGTCCCCTAGGCACACTCTCTCAACGCAGTCGCAACTTATAAAGTTTCACGTGGAGCCAATGTCTACGAAGGCACCTGACTTGCGGCCACCTACACCAACTTCCAAGACGAAATGCTCCCCTCTAGGACCTCTTAGACAATGCCACCCAAGACTCGAGAGGGTCCCTTGACGACCACTCGGTTTCCAAGTCTGCTAAGGCCTCAGACACATCTAACGAACAGAGAGTTGTTTGGTCAAGGTGTGCCTGCGGGGTGACTAGCGAGTTAATAGCTTCGGCCAACTCCTTTGGTCGAAATCTTCTGACATACAATTTTTGCACCTAAACTGTTGATGGCCATCTTGATCAAGACCAGCCCTTGTTGATGAAAGCTCCTTGCGAATAACGGTCCCTCCACACATCTTGATCAAGACCAGCCCTCACACAATCCGAAGTCTTGTTTGAGTTTTGAACCTGCCCCAAACTCTTTTGTTGACCGCCCTTGCAGCGGCCAACGGCCTTTCCTTTAGTTATTGCAGTGAGGTTGCTACCCTCTGCACAATCCTCGCTCCCTAACTCTATCCCTTCCACAAGATCGAAGGGTCATCAATCTCGGTTTGATTCTCTTCGGAATCAACCATCATCAATCGACTTCCCTTCTTCCACTCTTGCGAAACCTTCTTCTTCCTCCCATCTACAATTATTTGTTGAGCCCCTCCCAACGATCCTCTAAGTCTAAGGCCTTGTTGCTAAAGGTCTCAAGGGTGTGATACTCGATGTTGGCCTCACTAACCATTAGATTCTTGATGTTTGTGGGAAGACATCTCAAGAACATGGTTAAGAGGACTTGAGGATCAAAGCGAACTCCCGCAACTACCACCAGTTTCTCTACAGCACTAGGGAGGTCACACACAGTCTTGTACTTCTTAGTATGAAGACAAGTCAACGCATCAGTGGCTTGCTGAGCCTGTTGAGGGTTATGCCATCGCGCTTCCACCAAGTCCATGAGCTTTCCAGAGTCTGGGCCTACGCCCAGTCGTTCATTCCCATGGCGAGTCCCTTTGTCGCTATGTGCCCGTTCAGCCATCTCACTGCCGATCCTGCTAGATAAGATGTGGCAGCGATCACCTCCTCCTCACGCAGAGTACGCTTGGCCCTCACCCACAATGGAACCATCCTCAACCAAGCGTCGAGGGCCTCATCCTTCTTGTCTCCTATGAAGACAGTCGGAGGTTTCATTGGGGTCTTCGGGTACCAAGGTTGTTGTGGTCCAGTCTGTCCGGCTTGCTGACTCGGTGACTGGACCGGCTGCTGCCCTGCACCTGCAGCAGCTGGACCAGAGGAAGAAGACATACCACCTGGTATGATACCAAACTGTGGAACAAAAGGGCTCGTCATCACCGGTAATGGAACTAGTGGTCCTCCCTTTCCCTACACGGCAGTCAGTATCTGGTCAAGGGTTGAATGGATTTCATCCAGTCGGCTGTCAAAACATTCATTGAGACCCAACAGATTCGCCCGGATGATTTTTCCCGCATCATCCACGATTGAATATTCTATCCTTTCTAATGCACAGCTTAATCTGCCAGTCTGCTCTCCAATCTAGCTTTCCAATTTTTAATCTTATCTTGTCTGTCAGTGGTTCCCTGAGTTGCTTCTCTAGCTGTAGGCGGAGTGGCTCTACTTGTTGGAGTTTAACTCCTCCCTAATGGGCTGAGGTGGCTGGCTGTACTGCGAGACTGCCATCTGACCGGTGGATGGTCCTGCACTTGTCCCACTGGATGAGACAAACGACATATAGAAAGTCCCCGACGTCTGCTGATTTTGGGAGGTCGTTGCAGATGTAGCCATTGCTACCATGATAGTTGCTGCTGCCTCCCTAACGGTCTGCAAACGCTCAGCCCTTGCTTCGCCCCAGAACCTTCTCCCATCCCCTGGTAGCAGAACCTGGAACACAATGGGATCCTCTGTGTGTCCCGGTGTGTCCGCCTCCTATCGTCAACTGCCCCTTCCCCACTATTTGTACCGCTCATCAGCTAGGCAGATCACTGTCTGCACTAGTGCCCTCATTGGGGCCTACCACAACATGTGTCTGACCGAGTTGTAAAATAAAATAAAATAAATAAATATTCAGCAAGTCAACTAGGCTACCAATCAAGTGGCATAACACAAACTGAGAAGATGGCATATTCCTACTTCGATTAGTTCTTTCACAGCAGCGTCAGATAGAACTGGCTACGGTAGTATACTACACTTCTTTTCTTAAGTTGTCTGTTAGGTGTTAGCACTTTGTCCATCTAACTAGTCAAAAATAAAAATAAATCAAGTGCACAAATGTATGCAGAAATGGAAATAATAGTGTGTTCGAGCACCAATTGGAACCTTCCCTTCCTCTGTATCCGACGATCCTGTCTTGCATCATCAAGCAGCGACGTCTAAGGTATGCATGTTGGCCCACCCTTGTGCCCAAAAATCCGCTTATGACCAGTTCTGCCCTTTATTTACCCTCACGTGCAACGAGCCTTACATCCAATGATCTGGCTGATCAAGAGGCAATTGGAGGACAACCCCCAAAGTCCTGAGGAATTATTTAATATCGCCGACAGGACGACGATTACAGCCAAATATCATATCCCTCCACAGGTTCTTTATAGACGTTCTGGAACACGTCTCGCATAGGACTGGTCAGTCCACGTTTCCTCTACAGCGCAACAAAGAGCTCAAAGGACAATGCAGCATGGCTGCGTGAGTTACTCCCGTGGGTTGGCATGGTGACCGTGAACCGTGCTTCGACTAGGGCCCTTTAGAGGCACCGCCCTCTCCTGCGCCACCAGGAAGAATGTTGACTCTCAAGGTAGAGCCTTCACGACTCCTAACCAAGAAAAGGACTCTCAAGTCGAACTCACTTCCTCACGGTAAGAAGAGATTGAGAGAGGATGATAAGGTAAACGAACAACGTACCAGAAAACAGCTGCCCCCAACCACAGATGTCTCACCAATTGAGACGACATGCATTTCGATGGACCGGTCATAGCCTCTCAAAATGCAATGCAGTATCACCTCGGCCAAAATGCCATGTCAGCATGCTCTCATCATCCCACATACATCCGTTGTTGCCACAACTCCCACATTGTCGCCACAGCCTTCCGACGACGCTCCCCCCTACCCTAGAGTCGCCCAATCAAGCCAGCGCCAATGTATCCTCAGTGCGTAGAAGCTTCACCAGCGCACCAAGTAACAAAATCGCCAGCACAGGTAGCGGTGATATCGAACCAGCTCCGATACCAAATTGCGAAGACTATGAGCGAGAGTGATAGACAAAAATCCAAGTTGCAAAATCACGTAGTCCACATAGTCATGTACCAAGCAAAGAGCACAATGCACCAAGATATCATCCAAATAAGAGCAATACAATGAACTCAAGTGTCAATGCCAACACTCTCTCCATTGTCGCTCCCACTGTCTGGCGCCCAGCACCCAGCCTACACTACTCAGCCTATCTATCCTATCTACGTTCATGCAATTGGATCACCTCGAAGTTGAAGACCAATGTACGCGACGTCATCACCAATGCCGACCTCCTACACTACACCAGATACATTCTCTCTCCTCCCCTCATCACCCTACCTCATGCGCATCCTACCCAAAGACCACCTTCGCCATCATCTCCTCCCGCACCGCTCGGCCCGGCTATGGCCGCCGTGCACCCGCTGCCACTACAGTGCCCCCTCTCGCCTCCTGCGCCTGTGTGCACCCTGGCCTGCTTGCATACCGCAGTTTCGCGAGGCGTAGCAGCAATGTGGCCGCATCTGCTCATGCCAAAATGCAGCGGCCTGGGCAGGACACTTTCCTTTATGGAAAGTGCGACCCTCTGTCTGGCTGCGTGGGCCTGGCTGAGGAAGTTTCCAGGAGCTTCAAGTTGGGCCCCAGTGTCTGCACCAAGGCCCACCTCGGCTGTTACGGGCCTGGGCCCTTTTCAGTTGGGCACGTCAGGTGGCCGTTCAGGCTCCAAGTGTTTGCCTCA